GCAGGAATCAGAATGCTGGTCTCTGATTGGCTGGCCTTGTGAGCTGCTCTTGAACAGCCACTTAAATTCTTGAGCTTTTTGAGCAGGCAGATTGTAGGCTAAGACATTACAGCTTTTGGTAATTCTTCCCTTTTGTTGTCTCATAGCTATGATCTCTTTGCTGAAAGAAAAGTGAAAGGAGTGGGTGGGTAGAAGGGGATTGAAGCAGAGAAGAAAATAATGTTTCCTCTTAAAGAAGAAGAGGCTCAATGAGCTCAAGTTATACATTCTTTACCAAAATTTTGAAAAAATTTTCCCAGCCATAGAGACTTATTTGCAGGTAACACATCCTTCTTGACTATTTAAGTATAAATTCCTTTGGTAAAGGTGTGACCCTTGTTAGTATTGCAAATTTTCAAGTGGTGGTATTTCCTCAGAATTTTTGTATCTGAATATTTAGGGACTTAACATCTTGGACTACTTATTAACAGTAATCTTTAGGAGAAAGTATTTCATCATGTTTTACAGATTTACTTATAGATATAGCAGTCATCTGCTGTGAAATATAAATGCTTTTTCCTGTAAAGTGAATTATGGTCATGTGAGGGCTTAATGATCCTAGTGTTGCCTTCTAAAAAAATAATATTTCTTTGGTAGAATAGTTTCGTAAATGGCATCTCAGATCCAGATGACAATACTTGAACTAATATTTAAAACGTTTTGTTTCCTAATAGAGCCATGAAAGGAGATGTGTTTGGAGGTAACGCACCTATCTCTTAATGTGAATCTTTCTTAGGTATATTTTGCTTATGTAAAACAGATTTTTAAAAACTTAATGCTGATTGGTTTGCACAGATATGGCTAAACCAGTTTGAACTGGTTGTACATGCTTCCTTGTTGCTTTGTCTGTTTTTCGTTATACTTAGAACCCGTGGAGGATCTGGTGAATGGCTGTAGTGTGCTCCCTTGTGGGTGTAGATGGTAGTTATTTGGAAATTCTTGTATAGTACTTTAGTATTATTGCATCGAATGATTCTGTTGGTAAATTTATTAATTAAAATGACTTGCTTGGATTTCCTTATTAAATGTTATTTGATGGTGGCATTTTAACATGAAACATGATGTTTGCATGTACTCTGCTGTAGTTCATAAAACACCAAAAGAATTAAGAGAAATTTCATATTCTCTAGTTAATGCCTAAAGACTTTCTGAACCTATCAGTATAATCTTATTAATTGCTTACTATTTTTTATGAGTTTAATGTTTTAATGTTGAGAATCTCATTTAATCATCAGCAAGCATAGCATTTATGGCAGGTACTGATAATCCTTTTTTTGAAGGTAGCTGAAAATAAGCGCTGAAATGTCAGGTCACTTGCTCTCCTGTCACATAGTAAGTTAATAGGAAAACTAGAATTTGAGCCCATGTTGCTGTCTGCAAAATTCATGGTGTTAGATTGCTAAAGATTATGAAAATATTCTTGTATTTAACTGTTCATAAAACATCTGAAAGATGTGGTTAATTGGAGGTGAAAGTTTAAATGAATTGCATCTAAGTACCTAATATTTAAAGGTGACCTATATTCTGTTGTTATAAATTTTATTATAAGTTTGGAGTCAGCAAGGAAAAGTGACTACAGGATTTGTATTATTTCTTTGCAGAAAATTTTTTATCCTGAATTTGAAATCAGAAGTGGTGGGGGTAGGGGAAAGTCTTTAAATTTTAGTTTGCAAATAATGAGACCACTAGAATAGGGCCCGTGATAATTTTTCACTTAAGTTTTGGTTTAGGTAAGAACCTAATCTTTATTAATAGTTTTTACTCAGTTTTTTCCTGTAAATTAAAGGTCTGAGAAATGTTTTCACGGGAGAGAATTAATGTGGAATGTTCCAATCTAGAAGTATTTACACACAGGGGTAGTTCCTCAACCTGTGTTGGCCTCTGCCAAGTTGGTCGGGCCATTGCTTCAACCAAAGGAACAGTGAAACAGTAGGACTTACACGTGTAGCTGAACAAGTTGGTTTTTTTATTTGTTGCAGTGAGGGAAGAATCATTAATGTGAGGAAACAAATCAAAGTGTTCTTGTGAGCCTCAGAGGAGTTCTCAGATGTGAGACTGTTTTCTTCAGATAAAGCAAGTGTGTCTGATGGTGATAATGGTGATTATAAGAACATGCAAATGTAAAGCACCATTCATTCCTGCTGCCTGTAGATCTTACCACTCAGTGGGCTGCTATAGTCAGGTGGCTACAGTATTTTCTCAAATCTTCTCTTTTGTTTGCCATATTGCCCTGATCTGACATTAATATAGAAATGGTGATGTTGTCTTAGTTCTGATCTTATAGCAACGATTAAATACTATGTCTGTAATTTCGTTGGCAGATAGCCTTTATTAGATTTAGTTATTTATTTTAGCTTTCTGAGTCAGTGTTAAATTTTTTTAAATGAGTAAGATAATCTTTTTTCTTTTTTCTTTTTCTGTTTTTGTGGTAAATGACATTGCTTGGAATTTTTTCCTCCCTTTAAAACAGAACTTTTTTCTCTCATAGTTAAGGTAGGTTCGAAAAGGAGAGCACAGGCTGGAGCGATAGCACAGCGGGTAGGGCGTCTGCCTTGCACGCAGCCAACATGGCCGACCCGAGTTCGATTCCTCCGCCCCTCTCGGAGAGCCCGGCAAGCTACCGAGAGTATTCGATATGCCAGACACAGTAACAACAAAGTCTCCAATGGAGACGTTACTGGGCCCGCTCGAGCAAATCGACGATCAACGGGAGGGCCTTTACTTTTACTTACTTTACTAGTTAAGGTAGACACTCAGCATCAAGATTTTAGTATCTGGCCAGAGAGATAATATAGTGGTAGTGTTTTGCCTTACATGGCCTACCTGGGTTTGATCCCTGGCATTCCATATGGTCTCTTAAGTACCAACAGAAGTGATTCTTGAATGAAGAGCCAGGAGTAAGCCCTGAGCATAGCCAGGTGTGGCTCCCAACCCCCCCAATTTTTTTGGCTGGGCCATGCTAAAGAAGGATTTCTTCCAGGATGCGCTTATTGGTATGGCTTATGGTGGTCTCCCTGTGTATGTTTATGCTAAGATGTCTCCCTTTGTTTAAGGACATCAGTCTTAATAGTTTGGGTCCACCCTAATGACTTTAAGTTGATGCTCATGCAAAGGCACTATCCAGTATATCTATCCAACCTTCTGAAGTTTTGGGGTACAGTCTAGTATTTTTTTTTTTTTTTTACCAAATGAATAGAGCTCTTGTTTGGATCTCACTCACAATTTGCTTAAAATTACAAAATCAGCCTTTTTTTTTTTGGTTTCTTTTCTAGTTTTGGAGTTGTTTTGGTTTGGCTGCCACACTAAAGAAGAGTTTATGGTTTCTCAGCCTGCCTTTAAAAAAAATGTACTTCTCATGCACGTAGTGTATTATCTTTTTGAGAAATATAACTCAGTTGAAAGAATCAGGATGTAAATTACAAGAAATTTGAGCACAAGAATGAAAATATGACACATTAAAATGTAAGATGCAGCTAAAGCAGTGTTTAGAGGAAAATTGATAGTGCTGTGCCTATATTATAAAAGAAGAAAGAAAATTAATGATTAATGTTTTCCAAAGTAGTTGTACCATTTTATAGTTCCAGCAGTATTGTGGGATACCCTAAATACCCATGTAGTTGCCAGTACTCATTTTCTTTTAATCTTTTTGATGTATTTGAAGTGTTACTATAGTGTGATTTTGATTTGCATTTCCTTAATTACTAATGATGTTGAGTATCTTTTTCATGTTGAATGCTCATTGGCCCAGTATCAAAGAAATTCATTCATGACCTTTGCCCATTTTTTAAAATATAGTTGCATTTTTTCTTCTTTATTCAAATAGTAGTTTATATTTTCTAGATGCAAGTTGCTTATCAGATATATTATTACCAAATATATGCTTTGTAGAGATTTTCTATTGTTTTTTTAACTTGATGGTGTCTTATTAATTTTTTATAGTTTTATTGATCTAGATGTGCCTGCTAGATTATATTATACATTATAAATGTAATCTTTCATTACATGTTTCTTGTCTTTTACTTATCTCTATAGCTTTTTCTGATTCCTCTTCTACTTTTATTTACTTATTTACTGGTCTTTACCATATGGTGCTCAGGAGGCCCAGGGGCCTCACCTCTGTTTCTCAGTCAAGCCGAATGGGCCGGCGGTTGAATGCAGGGGCCTGAGCATGTGGTGCTGTCAGGCACCTGTGGTCTGGGGATTCTCCAGGTCACCCTGGCAGATCTCTAGGACTGCAGCTGGTGGGTACTTGTGGGGGCCATGTGGTTGTGGGAACTGAACAGTGTGGGCCATGCTTACTGACCACTATTGTCTCCTGGCCCATCCCCGACCTCTATTTTTAGTAAAACTTTAGTTTTCTTTTCCCATCTGTTTACTTGCTACATCTACTTTTGGGGAAATGGTCATATATCTTTTTTAGGCTCTGAATCTATTAGACTAGTAGGAATGATAGCTAGAAGTCAGTCACTTGCTCCTCACTGCTTCCTGGTCACTGTCACCGTCCTCCCATTGTTCATCGATTTGCTCGAGCGGGCCCAGTAATGTCTCCATTGTGAGACTTATTATAACTGTGTATGGCATATCGAATACGTCACGGGGAGCTTGCCAGGCTTTGCCTTGTGGACGAGATACTCTTGGTAGCTTGCTGGGCTCTTTGAGAGGGGCGGAAGAATTGAAACTGTCTCGGCCGGGCTGGTTGTGCGGAAGGCAAATGCCCTACCCGCTGTGCTATCGCTCCAGCCCACTGCTTTCTGGTAACTTATCTTTTATATAGTGACCTATTTTATATTATGTAAATCCAATAAATATGAAAATGAGTGCACAGCAAGCGTTACTTTGCTCTTTATGTTATCTTAAAATTACCTAAAGTGCTGCTTTCTTATATGATCAGTTTCAAGTCTATAATAAGGTGGTTTCTGTTTCAATTATTAAATTCTTTCTCTCTCTCTCTCTTTTTAAAGAATCAAAATGGACAGTATAGAAGAACCTCAGAAAAAAGTTTTTAAAGCTCGCAAAACAATGAGAGTGAGTGATCGGCAACAACTTGAAGTAGTGTATAAGGTCAAAGAAGAGCTGTTGAAAACTGACGTCAAGCTGTTAAATGGTAACCATGAAAATGGAGATTTGAACCCAACCTCACCTTTGGAAAATACGGATTATATTAATGACAAGGAAGAGGTGAATGGCATTGAAGAGCTTTGCTTTGACTCTGAAAAAAATAAATCAGAATGGAAAGAAACACCTTGCACCTTAAATATTAATGTAAAAACCAAGCAGGATGATGATTTAAATTGTGAACCTTTATCCCCTATTAATAAAATTCCCGAATCAGCCTCTCAGCTGACTGTTGAATCAGCTTCTGGTGATCCATCCTCTGGTGATTTAGCTGCCAGAGATCCAGCCTCTGGAGAGCCAGGCACCGTTGACCTAGCGCCTGGTGATGCAACCTCTAGAGATCTGGCCCCAGAAGTATTAACTTCTGGTGATGCTGCCCCTGGTGATCCTGTCTGTGGTGAATCTGACTCTGGCCATTCTGTGTCTGGTGAATCAGTCTCTGGTGAACCTGTGTCTGGTGAAAAAACCTCCAGTGAGCAGGTTGCCAGTGAACCGGTCCCCGGGGAATTTGGTTCTGCCGAACCAGCCTCCAGTGATCCCGTGCCTGACAATTCAGCTTCTGGTGATCGGCCCTCTCAAGGACTTCCCTCCAGTGATCCATCCTCCAGTGATGTGACCTCTGGGGATTTGGCCTCGGAGGATTTGACTTCTGGGGAGCCAGCCTGTGGGGAGCAGGGCCCTGGGGAGCCAGCTTCTGATGAACCAGCGACTTCTGACGAGGGAACTCCTGAGTCAGCCTTTGAGAGCACCTTTGAGTCCAGTTCTGTACCAGTTTGTGAACCAGCTCCTGAACAGGACAATACAGAGCCTAATAGCAATAACGAAGATGATGTTCTTGAACAAGATACGGATGATGAGAAGTTAGACGAAGTCTTTTCATTGGATGAGAAAAATAAAACGGATGGTAACATCGATGCTGATGAGGAGACGCTAGACACAGATGACACAATTATTTGTTCCGATCTGTCTCCTGAAAATGAGAAGAAGGTAGATGAAGAGTCTGTCATCAAACCTGCACTTGGAGAGGAGGCTATATCTAGCAGTATGGAAGTTGACCAAAATGAAAAGAATGAAGAGGAAAATTCTCCAGACTTAACAGAATCTGCACATGAAGATGTTACAAAAGATGATAAGAGTGAGAGTATCTTAGAAAGCGCGGATTCAATGGAGACAGATGAGATCATTCCTATTTTGGAAAAGCTTGCCCCCGCTGAAGATGAGCTTACTTGCTTTTCTAAAACTTCTCTCCTTCCAATTGATGAGACAAACCCAGATTTGGAAGAGAAGATGGAGAGTTCTTTTGGTTCACCGTCAAAACAGGAAAGTAGTGAGAGTTTGCCTAAAGAAGCCTTTTTGGTTCTTTCTGATGAAGAAGATATTTCAGGAGAAAAAGATGAGTCTGAAGTTATATCACAAAATGAGACGTGCTCCCCAGGTTAGCCTATGTTTTTTAATTTTAAAGATCTTCATGAGTTTTAATAAAATGCTTAAACATTCTCATACAGTTACAGATTTCTTTTAGTTGCAGAAATGTTGAGAATGGTGGTGACAAGAGGGATCTTGTAACTTCATAGATTCTGAACTTCACAGAATTCAGAATTACAGTTTCTGTTCTGTGTTCTGCCTTGAGTAAGTGTAAGGAAGGTAGATAAAATAAGTAGAAAATATGCACCTTACTGTACAGGGACTTAGGAGTCTAGGTTAGAGATAAGACGATTGGGCCAAAATAATGGTTTAGTCATAGTGCTGACTAAATATTTGTGGAGTTAAAAATTATTGTTAATACATGAAAAGTATATGCTGGAAAAGTTTGGTTATAAGGCTAAAGCATTCTGATACAGTGGAGAGCCATCAAGTAATTTTAAGCGGAGGAGAATAAGATACTATAGCTTAAATTTCATTTTCTTTTGAAATGGCCCTTGGCGGGCTCCTCTTGGCTCTTTGCTCTTTCCCAGTCATGGCATTTCTCCCAGTGGTGCTCAGAGATCATCTGATGAGTGTGTGTGTGGGGGCTATACCTGGGTGTTTCACATGCAAAGCCATGCACTTAGCTGCACTTAGTTGCACTTAGCTGTCGTCTCTCCAGCCCCAAAACTTTTATTTTGGAAAGACAGTAGGTAGCCTCTTTATGTATTTTTCTATAGCGCTGTAGCAGCACTGTCCTCCCGTTGTTCATCGATTTGCTCGAGAGGGCATCAGTAACATCTCACAACAAATTGTGAGACTTGCTGTTACTGTTTTTGGTATATCGAATACGTCACGGGGAGTTTGCCAGGCTTTGCCATAAGGGCGAGATACTCTCGGTAGCTTGCCTGGCCCTCCGAGAGGGGTAGAGATGTCGAACCCGGGTCGGCCGCATGCAAGGCAAATGCCTTACCCGCTGTGCTATTGCTCCAGCCCATATTTTTATATAAATCATATATATAAATATTTGTATATTTTATATATATAAAACTTAAAAAAATTTTTTTTCTGTGGTGCTGGGAATCAAACTCATAGGTTCAAATATGCAAGAAAATGTTCTTCTACTGAGCTTTATCCACAGGTAACCTTTTTAAAAGGTAATGAGAAATTCACTCCTTCAGTTAGTATTCATATAGTGATATTGGGCAAGTCCTTAAAAGTATCTTGTGATGCTCCATATGAGAAAGTCATAATGAATATATCTTAATTATTTTATATATTTTACTTTGTGCCACAATGTTGATCCTGGAGATAAATTCTCTACATAGTGCCGTTAAATGTGGAGAGATGAATATTAAACCATCGACATTGAAAATTCAAAGTTGTCCTTTGTGTAAACTCACACAAGAGGGGGCACGGCACTCACACAGCGGCGGTGACTCTATCTCTCCCGCCGCCCGCGTTCGGTAGTCTCACCCTTCTCCCACCCCGGAGAGGTCGATGGCGATGGTCAGGCAGAGGAAGGAACGAGGGCCAGACTGGTAGGTATTGGTCGTAGTTTATTCTGATTCTCTCCTCATCTCTCCTTCTGTCTCTGCCCCCATGCTACTTCATTCTCCTTCTCCATCCCCCTTCATCCTCCTCTTCCTTCTGATCCTCTCTGAACTCTCTTCTTCCTTCTGCCCCCAGCCCGCTCCTCCAGTACAGTTAAATCCTCTCTCCATGAGGAATTGGGGAAAACAATTACATAGGTGTGGTCACAATCAATAGGGGTAGAGATCAACAGGGGTAGAAATCTTAGCCTCAGGGAAGACCACTCCTAGGACAGATCCTTCCTCAGCAGGAGGACCCACCCTAGAGCAGAATCCCATGGGTGTGCCTCTCCTCTCCTTGTCCGACAAGCATATAAAATATAATATAAATCATTTTGTATGGATACAGTAAGAAATATCTTAAACTTATAGAATTGCTCTCCTAGGGCCATCTTGATCTCAGACTACGGTGCTCAGGCCAGATAGTCTTTCCCACCCCTAGCAGGATCCTAGTCTTGTCGTTACCTTTGGATCATGACAGCATTTGTCTATGATCAAACTCTTATAGTTAAGAATCGTGGCACTTTGGCCTGGCCCATTTCGCTGCCAGGGTAGCTCACCGCTTGCCCTGGGTCCATTCAGTCCCTCGTCGGGACCCTGCTTTTGGGGTGTTAGGAACTAAGGGCAACTGAGGCTTAAGTCGAGAAAGCAGATGCCCAGGAGTGAATAATATTCAAGGCCAATCAAATCCTAAGTTACAAAGCATAATGTTAACGGTCTTCCTGTATCTATACAAAAAGGATATTACTTTAAGGTAAACTATTCATAAGGCATAAGGAGAGGAAAAAGGCAATATTTCACTCATATATATAAAATCATAGATTTCTGGGAAACTAATCATACAAATTAACAAAGTCTGATTAAGGGGAAAGCTGATTAACTGGGTGGGAAGGAGAGCTTAGGGAAGACTGTTTACATGTTTACATGTAAACACAATGGAAGTGGAAGTGCCTCTGGAGCACTGTGGTGGGTGTAACCAGATTGATGGGTGTAACCAGATTAATGGGTGTAACCAGATAAACCTAAGCTTCTTGAAGGACAAAGCAATGTTACCCAACAGTCCTTATTTTTTTAAGTTTATTTTTATTAAAAAACCATGATTTATAAAGTTATTCATAGTACAATTTTGGGCATATAATATTTCAATATCAGTCACATCACCATCATCTCCTGTCCTTCCATCGATGTCCTCAGTTTCCTTCCCACCCCCCAGCCTGCATTCGTAGTCAGCAGAAAACAAATTTACTCCACATTGTTTGATCCCCCAAAGCATAAATGAGTGGTAAATGAAATTATCAGAAAATAAATCAATAAAAGTCAATTTCTGATGATTGGATTTTAACCTGCATAAATAAATTCAAATAATATTTAGGGCTGGAGTGATAGCACAGCGGGTAGGGCGTTTGCCTTGCATGCGGCTGACATGGCCGACCGGAGTTCGATTCCTCCACCCCTCTGGGAGAACCCGGCAAGCTACCGAGAGTATCTCGCCCGCACGGTAGAGCCTGGCAAGCTACCCGGGACCTATTCGATAGGCCAAACACAGTAACAACAAATCTCACAATGGAGACGTTACTGGGCCCGCTCAAGAAAATCGATGAACAACGGGAGGACAGTGACAGTGACAGAATTTTAATCCAATATAATATTCCTATTCTCATATAAAAACGTTCTTAAGCAAATTCATTTTAAGTATAGCAGTTACGGTGGATATGGGCAGGAGCAAAAATGGAAAAGACAGAAAGCAAATAGAAAGCTATCGCATATAACAACAGAAAAAGAAGTATTACAGATGTATATGAGCAGGTCTGAAAACACTATCACGTGACGCGGAAAACAGACTGCTGAAGAAGGTTCAGGAAAGTCAAGCTTTCTTTTCTTTCTGGAAAGTTCAAACTAGTTTGAGTACCTGTCATGCTCTCTCTGACTGATTCTCCTCTAGGTGCTGTTTCATCTCTTTCTGCCCTTTAAGTACCAGGTTTGAAGTTCGGTTCACAAAGTCAGCATGTTTTCCCTTCTCCTCTTTACTCTTTACCATAGTTGAATCTTGATTTTCGTCTTGGCAGCCCCTCTCTCAGTTGTTCCCTGTGGTGCTCATGTTGTGAGGGCACAACCAGCCCTGGCGGCTTCTCCTGCTGTGGCGATGCTGCAGGGGCCCCGGGGCCTTACCGAGCATCCGCTGCCCAGGGGTCTGTTTGGGTCCCGGGGTCAGTCCCAGGCCCTTGAATTTGCAAGGCTGGTGGGCCACGGGCCAGCCTTGCAGATTTACCACGTGGGCCACACCCGTGGCTTCTAGGGTACCCCTCCACCCCCCCACTTTTTTCTCTTATACTTGAATCATTGACTCCGGGTTCTCTGGCTCTCGGAAAATAAAACTCACATGAGGACAGAAACTTTTTCCAGACAGCGTTTATCGGGGAAAGGGGCTGCCGCAGAGCACAAGCCAGGCAGCGAGAAGAAAGCACTGTGAGCCAGACGCCCCGGGGGTGGGTGGGGGGTGGTGGAGGGTGAGGCCACGACAGTGAACAGTGCAAGTCCTAGTCTAAGTCCTTGCTCCCATCACAGTGTGTGTTGTCCAGTCCCGTGTGACGAATCCTTATCACACTAGCCAAGCACTTTTAACCCTGTACTATGTATGTCTCTAGCTCCTTAAAAAATATATATTTTTTAAAGCAATGTTTTTGGGAAGAAAAATATTTTAAGGGTAAACCTGATTTAAGTTATTAATTTCTTTCCGGATTGTATTTCATATAAAATTTTTGGTTTTTTTCTGCCCATCAGATTTTTAAGGTAATGAACACAAATGCTAATGAGACTAAAATTGCATGGGACTAGCTTTAGAAGGTTTCTGCTTTTGCTTTCGGTTAGTGATAGAATTGTCATTTCAGGTTTCCTGATATTGTCGTCGCGTAAATTTGCTGTCTCTACCCATTGATATTATGTCGTTACCAGCCATTCATATTTTATTATTACTTCCTTTGTGGGACCTCTTTGCCCCTTCCCTGAGTTCAGATATGGTAGAACTCTATGTATCAAAATGCTGTTCGTTCAGGTAGGATGGGAGAGAAGTATTTAATGACCTGAAGGTCATTTGTGCTTTTTGACAAGGGGCAGTAGAATTGTAAAGCCCGAGGTTGGATTTTAGAGAGAATGGAAAAATTGGGGGCAATAAAATGGAACTTTTTTTTTTTTCTCTCCTGAGTTTTATTTTGTAAAGGAGCATAAAAGTAATGAAGGTGTTAATTGGGAATTTACTGATTTGAATGATACTTAAAATTGTTTTTTAGAAAAGTCACATTAACAGTAACGGCCTAATTTTCTGATTATGTGTTGGGAGTGTTCCTTCACGGGCCATTCAGGAGAGAAAGGGGTTGGTGCAGCCAAAAGCAGGTGGTAGACTTGTCTTCAAAACCCAGCTTCCTCCAAGGTTGGGTTAGAG